GAACAACCGGGCAATAAAAGATTACTTCCAGCCTGGAATCGCGGGGGCCATTTTGGGGGTGGGTGCAGGAGGAAGTGGTAGAGGGGGTGGGAAAAATGTATGGGAGACAGGAACCATCTGGGTAGATGTGTTGTCTGATCTTAAAAGGTAGCTAGATATCAGCTGTGTAAGGATTCAAATTTTATCACATATAAAAAATCTGGTAGCTGAGGGTGCGAGTCCCGCTGCCGTCGAATCTGAACGCCTCCTCGAACTGTCAGAGCACGGGGGGCGTTGGGGACTCCAGCCATGCCAGGGGAGCTCTATAAAAACGAAAGATGCCCCCCCCCAGCTTCCGGACGCATCCCTGGGGCCGAAGACGAGAGGGAATCGCCCGCGTAAACGGCCTGATTTAATCTAGAGGCGCGTTCTACACCATTTAAAAGACAATCGCGAGTGTGTGGCACTCAGCAAAGGACAGGGGCTCTGATCAAAGGCCGCGGCTTGTCTTGTAATCTCTGTATTCTATAGTCATTTGCAACACAATGGAGGGCAACTCTTCAAGGCAGAATCCTATCTGAGAAGCTCTGGTATAAAAATGTGCTGGCGATAAGGTGATGTCTTTGCCACGTCAGCCCAGCATGACGGATGGAGCGGATTAAGCTGCGTCGATTGGTGATGCATTTAGGGAATAAACCAATGAATGCAGCGGGGGCTCAGGTCCCCGGGCCTATCAGCTGAGAGAGGCCTTCCGGGCCGTCAATGAGCTTTTTGAGCACCGTGATTTAAACGCAGTGACCGGATAGGGATGTTTGTCTTATTTAAAATTCAGACTTTGTCTGTGAAACTCATTCTGACATTGAAAAACTCCAGATTCGCCACGGGGTGGGGGAGGGGGGGGGGGACCATTACTAAAGAGGAAGTCAACTCTGACCTCTGCCCCCAGTCTTTCAGTCCCGACATCTGCTGTGGGTCCTTGGCAAGGCAGCGGCGGAGACAGAGGCGGGGGCCTCGGAGGCGGGGGCCTCGGAGGCACAGAGGGCCCGGGAGCACGGAGCATGGAGCGTTACGTGGAATTATTTAAAAAAAGAAAAAAAGACAGAAAACAGGGAGCCTTTGACTCTCGGAAGACGCAGCTGGAGATTCTTACTGATGTGGGACAGGATGTGTTCAGGCCTCCGTGTCGGGAGGGGGTCCCCAAAGGAATAACTCCCCCCCTCCCTTGGGGCCATGCAGCTGAATAAGGAGGCTGCCCCCCCCCCCCCCCAAGTAAGGAGGGGTCGGCGGACGGACAAGCCAAGACATCAGTGTTTCATCACCCACATCCTGTTTCGGACCGGTTCAGAACCAGGACAGAATATCTTACCGAATGTTAAACTGATCATTACAACATCAGAGAAGTTAGACCGAGCAGGAATTCAGCAGAACATCCCCCTTCAGTTGTATACACAGTGCACTCTCACTGTATACGCTTTAAATCTCCTTTGTTAAACATTAATTAACGTGTTTACAGGTGCAAGCCAACATTTTGACATCTATTTCCTTTCATTAGTGTGTAATATTTAGCAAATAAGCTATTCTTTTATGTCTTCCGGTGCTATTAAAATGAACTTCTAAAGCACAGAAATAGCCATCAGTTTTCAGCCCACACCATTGGCCCTGCTGCTAATTTCCATTTATACTGTTATAGCGGAATTGATGAGAAGCACATTGGGTGAGCAAGGCGAGCGGAGATGGCTGTTTGTGATTAATCCTCTCTGTGGATGTTTATGGAAAAGCCCGCGGCTGGCGGAGTCCTATTCCCGCGGCTGCCTTCGAGGCATGGGGCGCCGGTTCCGTTCTGACTCACCGGGCAATCACCGTGCTGAGGGAGGGGGCATCCAGCCTGTGTGTGTGTGTGTGTGTGTGTGTGTAGTGGGGGGGGAGGGATTTCCGCTTTTCCCAGAAAACTTCTTTGTGGAACGGGAGGGAGCCCAATATTTAAATAATAAAGATCCGGAGGGACAGTTCTGGAAGTAAAGTGACATTTCATCAAACCTCTGAGCTGTTAGATGCGTGGCTTTAAACTGCGCTCCTTTACCAGCATCAGAAGATAACGAACACCTTGCAAAAAAAAAAAAAACACGTGAATGAAAAAGGTGCCTGAAGCTACTATCAGCCAGCAGAGTGGATTTAGTGCCACAGAACAATTTTTATGCTTTTCCTACATCCTGACTGCCTGTTTCTACAGGTGGAATGAAAACAGATGGTGTTTCCTGAGCTAAGGTTTCGTCAGTCTCACACGAGTACAACCTTCTTCCTCTTAAATTCACGGAATCGGGATAACCGACAGCTGCTGTCCCGGTCCTGCAGGTCCTGCAGCACTATCTGAAGAGTTTCCCCGTGTTAGACCCACAAAATGAGTACTGTCATAGCGCCACAAAAATGAATGAATCAATATGTAAATAAGA